CTAAACAAGAAAGTTATTATAACTATTACTTTATTCTTAAGAAAATTATATAGTAAAAAATCATAAATCAAATACCTGATTAACATAACTATGATAAAATAAAGGGCCAAGATTTGAACCAGGGATATGATCTTCAGCAAGGCCCCCAACAAATGATTCGACTTGATCAACAGTACCGTAAACATTCCGTAAACGGCTTTGCACAACAGGATCTGATGAAATGTCAGACCAATCTTGAGCCCGAGCTAAACCAAAATATTGTCTTGCGTCATTATATCTTGCAATTCCATGATCACGACCTCTTATACAATCAAGACTATTTATTATTAAATATTATAAATATTGTTCAATTAATAGTTCTTATACACAAAAATCAGTCAATCAAATTTGGTTTAAAAAAGATGAGGATCTTGAGGATCAAAGATTAATTACCTCGCTACGTCCATTAATTCAGCTTTATAAAGATAATATCGCATCTGGTCACAAATATATATATCAACTTCTTCTTGCCTAAAAAGATGTAACAATGTGGTTATATTGTTATGTAAATTTATATAAAATGGTAATGGAAAGTGTTAATTACATTTGAAGAGCTATCGATACTACAAGATTGGGAATACCATACAATTCGCTATAATTAAACGATGTTAAAATAAGAAGTAATACAACATAGAAACTGCTAGAACATAATCATAATTATTATAGTTATTTACAGTAAATGAGGTTGTTGAAGTGAATTTAATTGTAAAGTAGTAATAAAATGTCCTTTGTCATCAACAATTGCGTAATTATCACTTGAAAAAAGAAAAAGAAGAAAAATAATAATATTAAAAAATGATATTTTCTGTACTGTAAATAATAAGAGATGATACTTACCTAACTTCGCTATGGCCATAACGCATTGAAGTCTAATTTTATAACAACAAAACATCAGACAAAACATCCGACAAGGCGACAAATATAAATTTAAAAGGAGAGAACTTACTGTCGCAAAGAAAGTGTCAATAACCGGTTTAAGATCTGCATTGTAACTTTTATAAACTGGCAAAGGAGTTCCTAAAAGGATGCTGACTAATTAATTTGATATAAAGATAATAATTAGATTATTATTAAAAAATAAAGAAAAATAAATATGTTTTAATCAATAATGCATGCCATATTCATAATAAGTTATCTTTTGTAGGAGCGCAATAACCCATCTTCTTGCTTCTTGAAAATAAGTTTCATCATTCCAAGAATTGCCATGAATCGCATACAATTCATTACATCGTCTATTATGTTCGCGTAAAAAAATAACGAAGAAAAGATCTACAAATACATAAGCATAAGATGAACTTGACGAATAGTTTTTTAAATGCATGAGTTTATTCACCTGTAAAAACATTCCTTCCTTTAGGCGAAGTATACCTATTATTTTTTTAAATAATTTATATATTTATCAACATCTTATTGATATATTTATTTAAATTTTAAAACTTATATTAAATTCTTCACAAACCATACCCAAAAATGTATTCTCCATTTGCATCCTATTTGGTAAACAATGAAATGACCAGTTTTGCTTGAGTTACTAAGCTTAACTTTTTTAAAAAAAGAAAGAAATATTTACCTTAGGTGGATACCCTAGTTTACCATCCTCCGTTTCACTTGAAGTTATGAGTCTCATTTTTCCTCTGTTACCAGTATCACGAATCAAAGAAGTTTGAGCATCTGTTACTCCGTATATATGAGACGCGTCGAGAAAAGGTGTACCCATGTTAATTCCGGCATTTCCAGGTCCTTGGGAGCGATTGAATGCTAAATATTGCTATCAAAATAATAACGATAAAATTACATGTATTTTTTTTTTTTTTTGAATAACATCTTTTATTACTGTATTATCTAAAATCTATGATAGTAACGGTAAGGTTTAATATCTTACTTGATTCATTGTAATATTTGGTCCAACTATATAGTTGGACTGATAGGTGCTATCATCAGTGGGAATATAGATCCCTTGTTGAAAAGTTTGACCATTTTC